TCTCCTGATTTTGTTAATTTCTTAATCTGCTGATGTAGGCTTTGTGGGTATATTGTATAGTTATGTCAACAAACCTTGTTTGTCATAGGCCTTTTCTACATCAAAAAAATACTGCACCTGGACTCTATTTATTTGTGCTTTTCTGATTTCATTTTTATAGACAGTGCTGTCTAGTGCTGGGTCAATGGTGAGTCTAAATCCACGTTGATCATTTAAAAAAAATATTCTAAATAGCCAGTAATTCTTGCGTTTTCTCCATTATTTTGCCCACATGTGATGTCAGAGCTATAGGCCATATAGTCCCAGCCAGACATGGGTCCGCATATAGGGAAACAACAGCTTCTTTCCACTGACGGAGTTGGTGTCCCTTTTCCCAGACCTTGTTGTACAAGGCTAACAAAATGTCCCTTTATTAAGATTTTTAACATGCCATAATTAGTTTGGTCTTTTGCCTGATCTGGTGTTCCTGTTGTGAGAAACATATTTCATTCAGTTTACGAGAATAATGTGTCCATCCTACTAGTGCTTTCTTCCAGCGGGGCTTCTTTGTTTCCTTGTGTACTGTGTTTGCGTTACAATGTCTCTTAATTAAACAGATTACCACAGCTTTGAACCATAGCCAGTGTTTCTGCTATTAGATCTGCTTTCTCTTTGCTTTCTTTACTGTATCTCCTTCTCCCTCTTTCATACCTGGATATGTTATTGCTTTCCTATTGCCAGAAATCTGCCTAATCATATTCCAAATCTGGTTTAATGGAGTAATTCTGTTTATGGAATAGCAGTAATTTCGCTGTAATTTCTCATCTTGTGCACCTCCCCTCTGGAATGCCATCCCCATCCAAATACTCCAGGCTTCCACCGTATCATCAATGAAACAAGCCCTCAAAATAAGTCTTCCAACTACATGACTCATCTGCAGTTTCTCCAGTTTTCTCCTTTCAGTTTTTTCTTTCTTTTGTTGGCTTGTTTCTCTTTATGGTTTTTTGTAATTTTGTTATTTCTTTTCCCTAAGTAATTTTCAACCAGAATTATTGGTATTTCAATGCTCAGTTTATAATTGTTTGAGCATCAATGCAGCTCAAGGCCCTATTGTAAGAATTAAGACTGTCAACATTAACGCGTTAATCTACGCGGTTAATGTGGCCGAGATAGATGGAAATAAACAAAGTTCACTTCAAAACCGCCGCTAGCTGCAGATCAGTGAAAGCAAGACGCTAGCTGAGATGGAGAGTGCTTTTTGCATTGGAAATAAAACAAACAAGCGCAACATACAGCGGAGAACTGTGCAGAGGAATTCTTCCATGTGTCATACAGAAGGGGGGTGAGGATCAACTTGGCCACTTTACCCACTGCTAGGCTAAGCTAGGTGCTATGCTACTTCCATCTCAGCATCTAATGCTACCCTGCACGGCACACAGTCTGCAGAGGAAAATAACATGATCAATTAAACCACAGTGCCCTACACAATGACCTCCAGCAGGCCACCTGTGTGTCTTCGCCCAAACAATCAGAAGCAGACTTCATGAGGCCCCAGAGCGTCCTGTAGTGTGCCCTGTGCTCTCTGCCCAGCACCGTGGAGCTCTATTGGCATTTGATATAGAACACCACAATTGGCATGTCCACAACTAGCGCTCTGTGCTTTTCACAGATGGGAGCAGGTTCACCCTGAGCACCTGTCAGAGGTATGCAAGGGTCCGGGGAAGCCAAGGAGAACGCTATGCTGCCTGCAACATGGTTCAGCATGACCAGTTTGGTGGTGGTCTGGGGAGGCATATCCATAGAGGGACGCACAGACTTCTACAGTCTAGAGAACGGCAGTTTGACGGTCTTTGTGTCGGGATGAAATCCCTGAACTCATGGTCAGACTGGTGCAGTAGGTCCTGGATTCCTCCTGATGCACAACCTCATGTGGCAAGAGTATGCAGCCAGTATGTGTAGGATTAAGGAATTGATTGGCCCTCATGATCAAATTACATTACAGGTAATTTAGCTGACGCTTTTATCCAAAGCGACTTGCATTACATTTTGAACCCGTGGCTTTTTACATTTTGCCCCGGGAGCAAATAGGGGTTAGGTGTCTTGCTCGGGGACACTCGGGGCTCGAACCTTGCGGTTCCCAGCGCACCCTCTCTACCCATGCACCACCGTCGACCACCCATCACCTGACCTAAACCAGACCGAACCTAAACCACCTCGCCTAAACCAGAACAGCTCCGGAACATTATGTTTAGGTCCATCAGACGCTGCCAGATTGCTCCTCAGACTTTACAGGAGCTCACTCATGCCCTTAATACAGATGTGGGAGGACATCCTTACCCTAACCCACAAGATACCATCTTATAAGGAGCATGCCGCGATGTTGTCAAGTATGCAAACAATAAAAATATATTACCTTATATTATGTGGCACCTTTTTTCTAACAAAGTTACCAAGTGCCTAACAATACGCACCCAAGTTATACAAAACACAATCAAGCAGTTTATAATAAATAAGATAAAATCTGTCAAATATATAAATAAGCCAGCTGGTAAAAGTGAGTCTTCAGAAGAGATTTAAAAGAAAGACACTGAATTTGCCTGCCTCAATTTGCAGGGAAGGGAGTTCCACAGTTTCGAGGGCCCTGACCGCAAAGGCCTCCTTTAGTGACCAATTGAGAGCTTAGGAGGACTGTTAATAAGGCCCTGCCTGAAGATCTCAGGTAGCGCTCTGGCTCATACGGGCTAAAGAGCTCACTGAAGTTGGCAGGAGAGAGATTGTTCAGAGCCTTAAAAACAAGCAGAAAGCTCTATAAGCTCACAGGTGGCCAGTCCAGAGCAGCAAGGACCGGTGTGATGTGGTCACTCCTCGTTGTAAGGGTTAAAAGCCTGGCAGCAGCACTCTATCATTCATAGTCTCTGAATGTTTCACCTGCTAATGCCAGAAGAATGTGCGTTGCAATAATCCAGCCTGGAGAAGATAAGCGCGTGGATGACTCTTTTCAGGTCTGCAGGGGAGAGGACAGACCTGATTTTCCTTAATTCTCTCAGTTGGGCGAAGCAGATCTGCACAACTTTGCGCTGTCCTTTGATGCTCAGGTTACCAGAGTCAGAATGCTCAGGTTGCGTGCTTCATGCCGAATATTTGTTGATAGCGTGACCAGCCCTGAGCACAGATCAGCAACACAGCTTGTGTTTGGGGAGGCAGGTGTAATAATAACAACAACCTCGTATTTTGAGTCGTTTAACTCCAGAAAATTCTTGGACATCCAATTCCTAACGTCGGCAAGGCAGGACATGATACCTGAAATGGTAGAGGTACCAGGCTTGATAGGGATGTAACGTTGTGTATCATCAGCGTAACAATGAAACTGCGTTATGTTGTTGAATGATGAGGCCTAGGGGTAGCCTGTATAGTCTATGGTGAATAGAAGGGGACCCCTGAGGGACACCACAGAACTAATTCCTGAATAAAACCAGAATTAAGATTTGGAGGTCTGTAGATTAGGAAGCATAGAATGGGCTGCTTGTGTAAAGGTGTAAAGTGTCCAGAAATGTAAAGATGTGTGCAGTGTTATATGGGCCTATGGTTGTATGATGAAGAACAATACCCTTTTTACTTAAAGCTGTAGCCGAACAGCAACGTATGTTTTATATGTGGAAGTTTTAGCAAATAAGTAATTACAATGACGTTGTAATTAACAAAGATGTTGTCATTGGCAATGTTTCTAATCTTGTATTTGTAAGGTATTTGAAAACAGTATTTGTATTGCTTTTGATGGGCAGTGTGTGTACACCTTCTTCTGTTTATTCGGATGGGCCGCTCTGTGTTTCTTCAGTCTGCGCCTCACTGCTGACTTCACCTCTGCCAGCAGCTGAAACACAAGCCAGAACGTTCAGTTGGAAGAAATCAATCCCATATTTTCCTTTTCGGTTTATCCACCTTTTTGTCCAGACATGAAGTGCTTGTTTGTTTGATGCAGTGTATAAACGTTGGGATGGGCTGTCACCATAAATTTCTCCCAAATAAATCAAGATTTAAGAATTTTTATTCTGATCCTCAAGTGATATAAGAAGTTGAGGAAAGATGTAGTGAGAACAGTATGTACAGCATAAGAGACCCCCCCGTACTGAAGAAGGGGGAGAGCAGTACAAGTGATGACTTGACTATCGGGGTTGAGCGCTGGAGGGTCTGCTGGACTGGTAAAGTTGCTCAAACATAGTCTGTAATGTAGCAAGAGTATGGAGTTTGTGATGGCCTTGAGCTGCCATTATTTCTTTGTCGTGGATTGATGCGTTTTTTTGCCTTTTGGTAAGGTGGATTACTCTAACTACAATACAATAGCCATGAATCTTAATTTGATTCATCTGCACGTCCTTGTTTTTTATGAGTTATTACAGGTCATATATTCTTTTCTGACTGCAATGGTAAAGTCTGTTTTAATAAACTTAGAATGTCCGAGGCAAAAAGGAACTAAGGTAGCCACAAGGTGGTCTCACAAACAAATGTCACTAAAGGCTTAACAGGAAAGGTGCAGGCGCTTGGTTGGCGACGGGAAATCCCGGTGAGTGCAGGGAACGAGCTCCAGGGCGAGGGAAGAGCGCTCCAGACAGCAGGCCGCCCACGTCAAACGGGTGGAACAGAGGTTTGGACTTGGGCCACACCGTAAGGCACGAACCGTTTGGACACGACCAGGCAGGGCAGGAGAAACGAGACAGCAGGTACGTCGGGTGCATAGTCACTACTCTGGCAGAGAACAAGGGGAAGGCAGGCTAGAGATAGAGGGTCTAATTGCAGAAGGTAGCAACAGGTGAGGGGAAGAGAGGATGACGAGATGAGAAGCAGCTGAGAACGAATGAGCAGGCGTAATTAGTGTGTGTAAGTGAAGAAAGGGTTGGAGAGGAAAAGAGGAGGATACCCGGTTCATGACAGCTCTCTTGAGTTTCCGGTTATTTCTACAACTCTTATTTTTCTCTGATCGAGTGATTGGAACAGATACTTTGTCACAAAAAACATTCATAAAGTTTGGTTGTTTTATGACTTTATTATGGGTTGACATAATGAAGACTTATTTTCTAAAACAAATGGCTTTCATTTGCCCCACTTGTGTGCTTTGGACGTCGTCCCTCCACTTCTCAACTGTCTTGCGTCCGACGGGCGAGTGAGGCCAGTTTCCAGCACTTTCAACGCCGCTGCTCCACAGTGAGGGCTGCTTTCCAGGACAGAGACAGGAACTGGTAAAGCATAAAGGACAGACAGCAGGGACACCTGAGGCTTCACGTGTTTAGAGAGATTGGCTCACCTCAGCACTGACATGCTGGAGGGGGTAGCAGGCAGGCAACAGAGTTGGTGTCTCTGCAGGCTGAACCACAACGAGGACTGAAGCAAGTTGCTCCCTAGTCTCCAGCATTTCCTTTCCTCCTTCCGCGTCCCAAGATCTGGCGGCATCGGCTTTCCAGCCACCCAAAGATGTAGATGCAGAGAAAGAAGGAAGATATGACACGTGACACTCATGTGATATCAGTTAGATTAAAGTATTTCCTATTCTCGTTAAACCTTTCTATCAGAGCTAACCATGTGTTGGCCTGTAGATATGCACATCCTGTTTAATAGTAATCATTTCACATAAATTACAAAATATTACAAACCCCCCTCGAGTGTTGAATGTCATATAAATAAAACACTGTGCTACATGTTATAGTAAAATCTGACAAGGCACCAACAAACTATTGACAGCCATAGTAAACAGTTAAGTTATTAATTAACTAAGTAATCGCATATTTTAAAATTCATTAATTGCAATTAAAAGTGTGTAATGAGTAACCCCACTTTAGAAAGCGTGTATTTTAGACACCGTTTAATTGTATTTGTACATTGTACATTTAGCCAGGACATTTTCCAGACCACTGTCTTTTAGGGACACAGTTGTGGTCCTCCGCGGACTGTGTGCGCGCAGGGTAGATGGAGGTCTCCTTGCAGCTACCAACAGGCATTGTCAGTCCTAAAAAAGGGATGGGTACCCTGATACCGGTGCCCAAACAGATATTGTTCTGGGCTTTAAAAAAAAAAGAAAAAGTGATTGAAACAGAAAAAGGTTGTTTTTTTTTAATGCCAAGGCAAATTGGTTTCATAAAATTAAATATATTAAGTCTTTAAAGAATACTGTTAATATAAATAAATAAAAAACACTTGGCGTCAAACTACAGCATTAAACTTTTTAACGTCCAACTATGAACAATATATGAACCGTTTACAGTATACTTAGTCTTCCCCCTCTGTAAGAGCTTGAAGTGTATCTATTAGTTCATTGGAATTTGGGGAATAATAATCATTTAATTTTAGATTTAGGCTCATTGTGCAGGAACTAAACATATGTAACATATTGAAAGCATTCATGTTGAATTGACGCTCCTTGTTTGGCTCGATTTATTGACCTCATTATTGCAGCAGGGGCAACACAGAAGAGATGCATCATTTTCTACCAGTGACTTACCTGAAGAATATAAAATTCAGTTTATGAACTTACACTTATATTGTATTGATTCTTTTTTAAAGGATTTTTCCTTGGATTCTGATGTTAAACCTTTAATATACAAGCTATGAAAACTTCTTCTAAGGAACAACAAGGTTAAAAAAATGACCTAAAATGTTGTTTCGTGTTGGATGAAAATGAACCTTGTGTGTAAGTGTGATATAATTTTTAAAAATCTATATTATAATATCTTTAATAAAAATATTATTTTAGCAGCGATTTGGACCAAAGAATTACACATTTAATATTTGAAATGTTTACTTTGTCACACTCACACAACAAACCATTATCCTGTAGATACTCGCTCTACAACATCAGGAGAACACGTCCTCTTCTCACTCAGAAGGTACTGATTCAGGCTCTTGTCATCTCCCACCTGGACTACTGCAACTCCCTCCTGGCTCGACCAAAGACATCAGGACCGCAGAGAGCCTTCACATCTTCCGCCGCAAACTAAAGACACACCTCTTCAGACTCTACCTCGACTAAAGACTAACAAATTGTAGCACTTAAATTGTACTTGTAACGTCACTCATCTATAGCAAATTGTAAATTGGCTTATTTGAGCAAATTGCACTTTCTTGTTTCTTGTTCTCCTGAGTTTGTACCCTATGGTTGAATGCACTTATTGTACGTCGCTTTGGATAAAAGCGTCCGCTAAATGACATGTAATGTAATGTAATGTTGGTCACAGTGGGATATTTGACCGACTTGATTAATTATTTTCAAGCCGACTCTGCTGATATGGAGGAGAAATCTGCACAGCTGGATCATAGCTGTAGCCTGCCAATGAATGCACCTGGATCAAAGCAGTTGCTTTGATGTCATTTAGCTGACGCTTTTATCCAAAGCGACTTACAATAAGTGCATTTCAAGCCGATTTACAACTTGCTATAGCTGAGAGCCATTCTAAGTACGATTAAGTGGAACAATTCGTTAAGAGTCTTTAGTTGAGGTATAGATGAAGAGGTGTGGGTTTAGTTTTATGTGAAGACTCTCTGCGGTCCTGATGTCATCAAAGACCTCATTCCACCATTTAGGAGCAGGACAGCAAAGGGTCGTGATCTTGTTGAGTGTTTTGCTCTTAGTGAGGAGGAACAACCAATTTGGCAGATGCAGAGCGGAGTTTGCAGGTTGGGATGTAGGGTTTGACCAGGTCCTGGATGTAGACTGGAAACGATCCATTCACAGCGTGGTACGTGAGCACCAATGTTTTGAAGTGGATGCGGGCAGCCACTGGTAGCCAGTGAAGAGAGCGGAGGAGTGGAGGAGTGTTGGAGAATTTAGGAAGGTTAAAGACCAGTTGAGCTGCTGCATTCTGGATGTGCTGCAGAGGTCGTAGAGCTGTAGGAGGGAGACCTGCCAGGAGAGAGTTTATGAATACGTGTAGGGGGCACTATCGAGCTAAAAGGCTGTTTAGAATCATTGAAATCATATGAAGTAACTACATCTTTCACTGTAAATGTGTAAAAAGTTTTTAAGAACTTTTAATCACCAAGGCCATAGGATTGTTTTGTCAAAATTTGAAGTGGCTGTGACAAAGTCGCAGAGGAGGTTGTCAAAGTATAGCTGCTAGAAAGTGTGAAAAATAGAGGGAATATTCACACAAAAACATTATAACTGACTTCCTGTTCATTTCAGAGCATGGTCTCAAGAGACTTTTTTTTTTACTTCTCCCTATTATACATATGTCCAAACATTGTCTGTCGTGTAGGTCAAACAGGGCGCTGGGGCTACTTCATTGAAAACTGCCAGGGGGCGCTATGGAGGCAATTGAGCATTTTTGAGTCAAAACTCCACATCAGCTCTTTAATGTCATCACCTAGGACACTGACAGAAGTTTTCAAGAGTTTTTGAGTTTGCCAAGGCAGCGAAATATCTGCTTGAACTTTCATGCAAAGACAGTGTTGTCACAGCAAAAACGTTTTTCAAAAACTCCAATACTCCACTTGATTTTATTAACTTTTGACCATCCAGGTGTCAGGATCAATTTTCCCAAACATGAAGTGGATCGGGTGTAAACTCTCAGAGGTGTTTGTTCGTTTGTAAATCCAAAATAAGATGGAAATTGCAAAAAAGGAAAGTAAAAATTTCAGAGAACGACTGCAGCGCCACCTAAAGTTCAAGCCAAGACAGGCCAAATACTTTTGAAGTTATAAGTCTTTCACGTTTAGGCCACACCCCCTACAACCTTAATTGGTCCATAACTTCGAAACCCAATGAGATATCAACAAGCTTTTAATAAGCTCTGATAGCAGTGACTCAATAATGATTTCCTGACATTTTCGTGAGAATCGGACCTAGCGTCTGGGAGGAGTCAAAATGGCAGAAAAACTTGCTAGGCGCATTTGCATACCATGATTGACTTTTTTTTGTAGAGGATATCCAAGAGCACCATTTCAAGTCAATCGGTGAAACTGGGCAAAAATTTCCCCACAGAGAGCATTTCCAGGGTCCACTAGAGAGCCATTTTTGTATCCCCAAATGCGCAACCCAAAGAATATCGACATTTTTCGCACTTCTGATTCGTACGCCAAAATTCAAGAGTTTTTGAATATGAAAAAGGCCTCAAAAGTGCGATTAAAGTGGAGAAATAATAATAAGAATTCTTCGATACACAATAGGGCTTTCGCCCGACTTGCAGTCGGCTCAGGCCCTAAATATCACATTTATTTTATTTAAAAGGAATATTGTGAGTGTTGTAAGTGTTCTTAGTTTTAGTTTTTTATACATTCTACAGTTGGCCAGGTGAACAACTTCTCCGCAAGGTGATGTTCAAAAAGGACCATTAACAAGCACAGATGGAACCAAGCCTGTGTCTGCATCTTGGATGAGATTTTGACTCTTTACCTGTGTACTTTGCTTTTGTAATATACATAGGCCTAATGTGTGATGCTTTTCATATGTGATGAATATTTTCTTGTTCATACGAAGCCAAAGTGTATGGGCTGTACTTATAGGCCTTTATTCGTTCTCCCTAAGGTTTCTTCCCTTTTTTCCCTCTTGTAAGGGTTTTTTCATTTTTTGGGGAGTTTTTCCTGTGCCGATGGTGGGTTTCGGGGCAGAGGATGTTGTATGTGTACAGACTGTAAAGCCCTCTGAGGCAAATTTGTAATTTGCGATTCTGGGCTATACAAAATAAAATGACTTGACTTGACTTGACTTTAATACCAACGCAAATGCAAATATTCTGCTTTATCTCGTGCCAATACTTCACCTTGCTGCTTTGAACAAAGTCTACAAGTCATGACAAAAATCTCCCTGCAACCCCCTAAGCAAACCTGGTCATTTTGTTCTCAGGGGGTTGCAATCGGAGGACCTTGTTGAGTCCTCATCATCAGCCCCATCATCTCACTGGCGAGTCCACTAGAATTTCCCCTGATTGCTTATTATCTTACATTTCTACCCATCACTAATCATTTTTTGAAGTCCCGATTGACATGTCTGGATCAACAATTGTAATATGAATATCTACAAAGGAATTGATACTAAATGAGTAACTTGTGATAAGAAAAGTATCAGTACCACAGTATTAAATTAAAATGGATGATTTGGTCCTCCAGACATGGTAAACAAACAACCCATTCAGCTTCTCATCTCGCTATTGAAACAAATCTAAATCTGCACATTTACCAAGATTGTGGAACATAACATATCAATAGAAAATGGAAGCAAAAATGTATTTGCCGGATTTGTTGACAGAAGTGTGGGCGGGATAGTGCTAAATAGACTAAAGGGAGAGCGTTGCACCAAAGATAAATGACAAAATAAAATCAAGCATAAATTTACCATGTTTTGAAAGCATAATTGATTTGTGTCTGCTAGTGGTTTGTATTATGATGATCAAGGACTGGAGTTCATGCAGCTTACCATCCTTTTAAATCAGCGCCGCATTATTGGTTTCCAGTCTGTCCCTTTTTTATCTGTAAGCCCGTCTCCCTCCCTCTGCTCTCTTTCTGTCTGTGCAGCTGCAATCCTCACCGCTTTAATCCCCTCTTCTCTCCCCTGTGTGCAGGGCTGCCATCCAACTATTTAACCACAGCCCTGAAACAAACCAACATCTGTTTGGAGGCCAGCCCAGACCCAGCCATTGCCTTCCTGCCGTGAACACACCAGCCGCGAACAGCTTAACCCCTTGCTTACCAGACCGGACGGGCTCGCCATGCCAGTTAACCAATCAGGCGCAGTGAGAACTGTATGCCATTTTGCAGACAGTAGTTGGGGCTGTATCCAAGTAACACGTGGTGTTCAGGAGATCTGTGTTTTCTTTGATTTTGTTGTCTTTGGCGCAAATAGCTCATTGTTTTGCTGTTACCAAACCCTGCTACCCAGAACGCACTTCTTTCAAACTTTGTCGGCAGTACTGTGACATCTGATTAAGATTTTCTGCTCATATTATACTTTTCACTGTATGACTGCTCCTGCTCACCATGCAGTTTTTTATTTATTTTCGACATACCAGAGACGAATAATATGATATGAATAATATGCTTATATATTTAGAAGGACTTTTACTCCTTATACAGTAGGTTACTATTCTTCTTTTTTATCTCTGGTTGACAGTTTATCTGTGTGTTTATTGCATGCGTAGCCTTATTACAAATGCAATCCGCGCCTGTGCACCCCCCCCACAGGACATCAAAGTGGACAGTATGTGGCCCCCTACCTAAAATGAGTTTGACACCCCTGCCCTATAACAATAGCTAATTCATTCGGATTTGCCAGCTTGTCTTGCTGCGGCGTGAATTACCGTAAATATTGTACAATGCATGTTCAGTCGTCAAGTCTGACATGTAGAGTGAACATTTAAAATGTACATTTACGGTGTAACTATGGGTTAGTTTAAAATTAAAGGAATAAAAGTTAAAGTTAAAAATATCAAAAAATTAAATAAAGTGCACCATCAAACAGAAAGTGACATGTGAAAGTGACGTGTAAAGTGAGAAAGAAAGTGGCCAGTGGAATGTCAGCGTCAGTCAGTGGGGGAGCGGCTCTGTTGATGAGCCCGACTGCCGACGGGAAGAAACTGTTGGTGTGGCGGGAGGTCTTAGTCCTGATGGACCTCAGCCTCCTGCCAGATGGAAGGGGCACAAACAGTTTTTGTCCGGGGTGAGAGGGGTCGGCTACCATCTTTTTAGCTGCTTCAGAGACCTGGAAGCGAACAAGTCCTGCAGGGACGGCAGATTGCAGCCGATCAGCCTCTCTGCAGAGCGGAGGACACGCTGCAGCCTGTCCTTGTCCTTGGCTGTGGCTGCAGCGTACCAGACGCTGATGGAGGAGCAGAGGATGGACTCCATGATGGCCGTGTAGAAGTGGACCATCATCGTCTTTGGCAGGTTGAATTTCTTCAGCTGAACAACCTCTGCTGAGCCTTCTTGGTGACTTGAGGTCCTGGATGATGATGGAGCCCGGGAAACGGAAGGTATCCACAACAGGCTATTTTAAAGTATGATTTCTATTCTATAGGCTACAGTGTATGGAGAAATCTGAATCAGAATCTGAAGCCATTTATTCAGATTCTGATTTCTGATGTACCTTCCATGTAATGTTTCCTGTGTAAAATTCAAACATTGAACGACTTCAGATCCAAAACGTTTCATTATTCGATTTTTGTGGCAGATAAAATGTTGGGTTTTCAGAAAAAAGGACCTTGCTAACTACTATATTTTAGAGATAACTGATGAATCTTTCTGATGGAACTGAATCATCTCAAAAAGCCCCATGTTTCAAAGAAAACTCCATTGAAAAATGAAAGCGACAAAAACTATAATATAGTATATGGTACTTGCACATTTGTAGGATTATATTTTACAATCATTATTTGTAATATATATTATAACTGCCTGCAATTCATGTTGGAAGGAAAAGTCAATGGAATGAGGATGGAAAATATGGAGGCAGCCGTGTGTTGGGAGGTGGTCTGCAAATATTTAGTCAGGGCAAATAAAGACTGGGAGAGATGGAAGACACATATTCTTACATTTGAGCAGCCAGTTCAACGGCTCTCCAGCTGCCAACTCTAGGCTACAGTTCTTCTTACAGCTACTGTTTCCATAGACACACCTAAATATGCCCACACGCACACACACTAACACAGAAAGACAGAGAGGCATAAAGTCATACATGCCTGCTTGCATGTTCACACAAACACACACACATGTAGCGGTTGGACAAGGTTCAAGTTCACAGGTAAACGGGGGGGGAGTTGTTCATAGTCCTGGGAGGTGCCCAGGGCTATGAACCTCTCCTCCTGGAATGTTGGCCTCAAACCGGGGTCAGCCAGGGGACAAGAAAGGGGTCCTAGCACCCGTCAGTGCAGCAGGCAACATACTGAAGGTGCGGAGTGTTCCGCTCACTCTCTCAGCGACAGGCTCAGGAAGTCTTTCCACACTTATTCATGAGACCATTTTAACTCTGGTGGTGCTGGCTCACTGCAATCAAAATTTCATTCATGAAGTCAGCCCTCAAAATGGAGTAGTCAAAATGTCGCTTAAGACTTAATTGCTAAAAATATGACAATGTGAGACTTTAAAGAAATATTGTATCAGTGGATTTATTCAACAGAAACTCACATATTGGGTAAGGTTAGATTCTTTCACATACACATTTCCACTTTTGACTCAATGTATTTGTCTGTCTATCCATAAATACAGTATTTCCAGTAACTTCCACTGCAAATCAGAGAAGAATCTATCTGATTCCTGGTAGTTTCTTGATCTACTACTGCAAGGATTAAGGTTTGGTTAAAACCTCAAATTGTTGTTTTGTACTGTTTTCACGAATTTTGAACAAAGCCATACTAGCTGTTCACAATGTTTCCAGTCTGTATGCTAAGCTAGGCTACCAATGTCCTGACTGTCCTTACTGCATTGACTCATTAAACTTCTCGTCCAAAATTTTAAAAAAGAGGTATTTTTATTTGTATTTCCACAATTCATTAAAAGCAGTGGTCCCCAACCACAGGGTCGTGGGCCATTTGGTACCGGGCCACACCACACCACCATTTTTTCTGAGAAATGTTTTATTTTGAAAATTGACCCAGATTCTCTCCTAATTATGTACTCTCGACATATTTTCCAAAAGTTATTTTTTTTCTTAGGTCCTCATACAACGACTACTCCGTTATTCCGCCGGACCTTCTTGACCGGTCCGCAAAATATTGTTTGACATGAAAACAGTCCGTGCGGTTAAAAAAGGTTGGGGACCACTGATTAAAAGGATAAATTGAGGGGACAAAAGATTGTAACGTATTTGAAAGATTGTTGTCTGCTGTCCTGCTCTGTGAGATGTGCACTGACCCATTGAATATAAAGTCCTTGTTCTATTGTAACTATTATATTAAATATTAAGCTAAATACTAAATATTCAATGCAGAGATCAGTTTCATTTCATGCGGTGGAAGCTATATGATAACGCTTCCCTCAGCAGAATTATAGCAGCTCTGCGCTGAATAAATGTCTTAATTCAGGCCAGCATAATAAAATATCTCAGAAATAAATACCGATCTCATTTTCTTAGACAAAACACATTTACAGAAAATTATACTTTTATGTGTTTTGTGATGGCCCAGCCGGTGAGAAGTGCCCCACATGGCGAGAGACAGCCAGGCGAGGGCCAAGCGGCGCGGTAGTAGAAGGGCGGTACTACCCCAGGTGGTGCAGAGTTTCCCTCCTGGGTGTCAGCGATCACGCAGGCAATCAGGAGCCTGTTTTAAGCCTCCCTCCCAGGAGACACAAGGGGAAAAGAGAGCGAGACAGCCTGAACGACAGGAGAGCGAGACCCAGGGGCTGTGTCGCAAGAAGACTGTTCTGACCAATATATCTCCCTCTTCTGCCCCTGGAGAAATCTGACGAAGCCTCCTGATGTCCTCGGCCATCCCGGTGAACAGTTTCGAGTTACCGTTTTATTCTCACTTCCTCTTTGAGTCATCACTAATAAACCTTGGTTAAGTTCACGTGACCTTGGTTGTCGTCTGCTTCTCTTCTCCACTGGGACCCCCTGGCCTGCCCCGCCAGGTCGGGCGCCCACAGTTTGCAGAAATCTGTGTATGTGGGTTTGTGTATGCACTGTGTGTTTTGGGGAATATGAAGGAAAGTGGCACGGCTCCTTTTATTCAAACTTAGACTGTGTGATTTCCTGTGTCATCACAAAAGTTGGTTCAAATACCATGCATGCTTTCTCACACACACATAGGATGAATCTGACTGTGTGTGTTCATTAACAGCAATGACTGAGACCAAACTTGTTACGTTTCAGTATCTGCCCAGCTTCACATATAATAGTTTTTGTCTGTGTGAGTGTGTCTGTGCAAATGCCCGAGCAGTGACGAATGTTAACCACATCCAGATGTGGGGACGTGAGAGAGGGAGGCACAGCGTACTGGTGACTCATTACACTGATACCTGTGCACATGCAAAGCGAGTTGCACCCTCGGGATGTTGAAGCTAACACTATTGTACGTGGGAAAATATCTACAAAACAGCAGTAAGACTACCATGTGCTGTTCAAACAATCCACCACCAGTGGGGGCTGGTGGAAAAATGTTCTAGGTAGGGCTATCCAAGTATCCCAGAATGATTCAATGCAAAACCGCAAAGGTAACAAAAATGCAATAATAATTTGTAGTTTATATATTAAAATTTAACTTTTTAATGCAATACAAATGTTGTAAATAAAAGTTTAACAATCTTTCTTCTGGAAGTTGACCGCGGAAACTAAACAACCGCTACCTCCAGTCAGTTACATCGGAGAAAGTAAGCCGGTAGCTGAAGAGCTTGTTTTGCATTGAAAGTAAAACAAGCAGTGGTGCAACATACAGCAGAGAACTCCGTCGAGAAATTCCTCCATGTGTCAAACAGAAGGGGCTGAGCGGAAAACGGACCACTTAAAGCACCGCTATGCTAAGCTAGCTGCTTGGCTAAGCAAGCTGGAAGAGTTGACATGTTGAACTCATGTTCAACATGTTCCACGCGGTGGAATTCCTTACCAGATGCCCAAACCACCGCTGGATTCTCCAGCCAAACTCACACTCCATCTTCCCCTCACTCGTGAATGAGACCCTGAGGTACTTGAACTCCTTCACTTCGGGTAAGGACACATTCCATACCTGGAGTAGGTAATCCTTTTCTG